AGCACGACAGCCTAAGTTCGATCAAAATAATTCCGCGACAAACGGGCAAGATATGTGATTAACGAGGAAAAAGACCGTTACTGAGCTGCAGGAAAAAAAAAGACAACACGTTTGATTTGCAGCATTCGACTTCCTGTGACAGCCGGCAAAAGCTTTATACGGGGTACGCTCGTGTGAAGCCATATAAACTGATGAGAAAATCTTCAGTTTACAAAAATTTCACCACTCTTTTTTTTTTGGAACCATCGTAAAAGGAAACAGTAGGATTGATTTATTTGTTACATCCATCGCGTCACGAATTGTGCATTAAATCCTAAATCACAAGAAGATTTGCTTACCTGGCTGTTCAGACACTTTTTGGCCGCCATGTTGAAAGAAAAGCCAATGCCGTGTAACCACGTCGCGTGACGTTGGAGGCAGCCAAAAAAGCTACTGGGGGTAGGAGTGACCGAGTAGCATTTTCCCAAATCTCCATTTAAAAATTAATGTTATCGTGTAAAATTCATTGAAAGAAACTATTTACTCCATAAGATAAAATGTATTTAAGCACGATCAGTTTATCTTAATAGTCAAGCAGAGTAATCCGTTAAAATATGACCTGAAAAACAAAACGTTATGAGAAACTTTGACAATACTGTCTGTACCCCCGACAAGGTAACATTGTCCTTGTTCCAGCGTTACCATAGTGATCAAAGTGTTTCGTTTCAAATATGGCGGCCTCCAGGTCAATAGAAGGAGTATTTTTATAAATCTCCGTAAAAGCTAAAGGTTTATCCTTCGATAGTTAATTTCAGGACTCTAAATTCAAACCATTATAATCTCCATGTCAACTGCAAATACTGCGACCGGTTTTATTTCGGGTACAGGATTTTCCAGTCAATGTTTTCCAGTGCGAAGTTTGACTCGATATAAGCGACAAGATGAAGACGGTAAGGCTTGATTCGTTTCCAGGGTAGCCCTTAATTTTGTAAAAGGCCCATGACGATTTGAACTGTAGGATGCAGGAGTATGTTTTTTTGACTGGTACTCAGAAACTCTCAACCCGACTGAGCCTCAATATGACCGATGTATAAAAAGCTAAACTAATGCACGTAAGTTATAGAGTCTTACCTGCTTTCCCTCCAAAATAAGCCTAACCTTAGGCTTCATCAATACGATTAATAATCGAATACTATATAAACAGTAAGCTTGCATTAAATTTGCCCCTTATGAAGTTTAATTTAAAATTTAAAGGAAAAATCGTCTTGATAATTATAATCTGTAGTAATGTACACTGTAGCTGCATGGTGGGTAGTTGACATCATATTACATTCCCATATATAACATGTGCACGCACTTTCATTTGACATGTTTAGCTATCTTATATGGCATCTGAACCCCAAAGGAGATGTTAGACATAGTGTCCAATTTGATTTTCATTCTTTTTTTGTTTTTGTTTTTGTTTTTTGTTTTGTTTTGCTTTTCAAGGAGGAGCATGGCTTGTTGCTTACCGAGCAGAGCAAAGAAGGAGATTCAAAGCTGTATTGTGTTCTGGAGAGCCCAGTGTGCCAGCAAAGCCTACAGTGGTTACAAAGTTCAAGGAAGAAGAGACAGAAACTATAGAAGATGAAAAACCACCAAAACTTGATGGCTTTTATCTGGTGAGTTTGTGGTATTTTTTTTCTGTATAAACACTCTGTTCTGTTTAAAAAAGACCTGCATGAATTAGTACCTTGTGAGTCAGAAATTCCCTTCTCTTGCTGCTCGGTGAGAGATGAGCAGGAACCTCTGCTCAAAACCGCTCCATTTTCTGTCATGCAGGGTCGAATTGCATCAACATGTTGCACGTATCATGCTTTGTCATGCAAAACATTTGCATGCAATCATTTTTTTCTTAATTTCAGTTCAACTGTGGTGAATTGCTTGAATTCCGACTTGTAACTTTTTACATTTTTTATCAGAGTGTAAACACAGGTAAATGATCGTGTGTTAAAAACAAATTCCAAAATTGAGACATGGCATGTAACAGACCTGTAGATATCTGTTACATGTATTTGACATAAATGTTTCTCCTATTCTTCAGATGAAACAATTTCATGTTGATGATCCATCTGACTTGTGTTCAATCAAAATAAGTGGCCAGGAACTAAGAGAGGTACAGTACAAAAAATACCGGTAGTACATTGATGTTTTCAAAAATTTGGAGTCTTTGAACCACCATAATTATATTAGTTTTACTTATTTATAATGTAATAATGTTATCACTTTTCTTTTATCCAGGTGAATGAAAATGACTTCTTGCTGTTTGACAATGTCATTCATGTTGATGCTGGTGATAACAATCTGCCATTTTGTAAGTTGAATTCCTACAGTTATTTACATTGTACCTTACTGTTTTTTGGTACTACACATACACACACCATGGCCAGTCAGTTTAGTGGGCCGTATTCTTCTGTATGCCCCCTAAAATTTGAAGCTCAGCCAGTTCTAAAACCACTCAAATACATGTACGTACATGCAGAGATATAATAAATATATATTTACGATGAACCTCATCTTTATTGTCCATTCTGTACTGTGAGTACATACAGATCCTTCAATTTTTCACCCATGTGCTTCCAGCTTGGGCCATACATGCATGTAAATGAAAAAGGAAAAATTTACTCTGTGCATGTAATTTAGAGTGCATGTACTTATGAACTTGAAACTTGGTTAGTAAGACGTGTACACATGTACATGCCTACATGTACCTATTTTATGAGGAACTTTACTGCAGTTACATGAAGTATCAAATAATGATATTAGTTAATGTCCAATCTGCCTCCCTTTTGGAATTTGAGCATACAGCTGAACCTTTATTAAAATCAGTGGAAACTTAAGCACAGTAGTAAGCAGCAAAATCCTGTCTCTGAGAATTGACATGCCTGTGGTCTTTCCCATTTGTGTAAAAGCTGCTAAATGATAAATGTTGCATAACCTCATTGAGTCATTGAATGGCACAGTTCCATGCATTAGTCGTAGTGCTCATCAGCACTTGGAATGCTTAAAGGTATTCCGAGCTCTCATGAGAACTATGAGTTTTGAGTACTACATGTACGAGTTTTGAGTGCTACGAGTGCTTTGAGTTTTGGATTTTAAAAATTCAAAAACTTATTTCAAGAACCATTTCACAGAGATAGCTAATAGTATTATTCCTTGACTGATGACTAAAGGTGATCTCTTTTTTTCTTTCTTTTTTTTTTTTTNTTGGTACTACACATACACACACCATGGCCAGTCAGTTTAGTGGGCCATATTCTTCTGTACGCCCCCTAAAATTCGAAGCTCAGCCAGTTCTAAAACCACTCAAATACATGTACGTACATGTAGAGATATAATAAATATATATTTACAATGAACCTCATCTTTATTGTCCATTCTGTACTGTGAGTACATACAGATCCTTCAATTTGTCACCCATGTGCTTCCAGCTTGGGGCATACATGTAAATGAAAAAGGAAAAAACTTACTCCATGCATGTAATTTAGAGTACTTGTACTAATAGACTTGAAACTTGGTTAATAAGACATATACACATGCACATATATGTACATGTACCTATTTTATGAGGAACTTTACTGTGGTTACATGAAGTATCAAATAATGATATTAGTTTATGTCCAGTCTGCCTTCCTTTTATAATTTGAGCATACTGCTGAACCTTTATGAAATTGGTGGAAACATGCATTAGTAAGTAGCAAAATCCTGTCTCTGAGAATTGACATGCCTGTGGTTTTTCCCATTCATGTAGAAGTTGGTAGTAAATGTTGCATAACCTCATTGAGTCATTGAATGGCGCAGTTCCATGCATTAGTCGTAGTGCTCATCAGCACTTGGGATGCTTAAAAGTATTCCGAGCTCTCATGAGAACTATGAATTTTGAGTACTACATGTACAAGTTTTGAGTGCTACAAGTGCTATGAGTTTTTGGATTTTAAAAAATATTCAAAAACTTATTTCAAGAACCATTTCACAGAGTTATGCTAATAGTATTATTCCTTGACTGATTACTAAAGGTGATCTCTTTTTTTCTTTTTTTTTTTCTTTTTGTTTACCTTTGTTTTTTCCTTATAGATATGTTTTTTACATTTTCTTCTTTATTTGTATCTACCCTTGCCATAGCGGCCTTCAGCAAGTTCTCAGCACTCCAGGAATTAGAGCTTCCTCTGAACAATATTTGTAACTCCATCAAAGTTCAGCCAGACATGTTTGAATGCCTGATGACCCTGGACCTTTCATACAATCGCCTCAGTGGAGATGACATCTTAGCACTTGGTCTTCTAAAAAGTCTTCGAACCTTGCATTTGACTGGTAAATAATTTTTATATGCGTAATAATATAGACTTCAGCCAATTAAAGTGCTTTTTAGAATTCTACATGTACATCTTAAATGAAAAGTACAATTCATTCATTCACTCATTTATCTAATATATAGTGACATGTACATANTCTAAAAAGTCTTCGAACCTTGCATTTGACTGGTAAATAATTTTTATATACATAATAATATAGACTTCAGCCAATTAAAGTGCTTTTTAGAATTCTATGTGTACATCTTAAATGAAAAGTACAATTCATTCATTCACTCATTTATCTAATATATAGTGACACGTACATACATACATTGTTCATTGTACATATACTCGTATATACAATTAATAATAAACATGCCAAATACATGTATTTACATATCTGGAGAGGATCTAGGAGGTTCCATTTAACCCCCTAAATTAAAACAGAGACATTTTACCATGCTGATCTGAGACAATTTAACACGCTGATCTGGCCTCGGAATGTCAGAAATCCCATTTCCGAGGACCTCAAATTTTAATTTTTTTTCAGAGGAGGATATTATTGGCACTGCACCCCCTACAGGGGACTGCCTTTGACAGTCTGTATCTCAAGCCCAGCCCTCTCTACAATCCTGTATCTGTCCCAGCATATATTTTCCTTTTCCAGCCACCCAAGATTTTTAGTATCATGAGATTAAGAAGAAACTTGAATTGAAATGAGGATTTAACTAATATTTTCTCTGTCAAAAAGAAAAAGAAAAGAAAAATCAGAGATGTATAAGTTAAATTATATAAATGTCTTACAAAATGCGGTTATGATTAAAAAAACTGATCAATCTTACGTTTATCAATTTCTGTCCTTTGATAGGCAATGAAATAAGAAAGCTTCCAGTTGAAATGACAAGAACATACAGGACAATCACAGGAATGACACCGTATGTAACTTAATCTACTCTTACTATTATAGCTATATACTCAGTTCTTTTCTGCTTTTAACACTAACAAAATACATTTAGCATGTACACTTTAGTAAAGTTGTGAATGCAAGGACATGTATCATGTTGTAGAGTGTTGATACTGGCCCAGTCGTCAAATGGCTACAATGCATTTGCTTGGACATATTTCCAGATCAGGTAGCTGTCCAGGCTTAAACTCCAAAATATAGTTATAGTAGGTTGACTCTGGGTTGTTAAATTCTAGGGCAAGACACTTAACTCTGATCACTCACAGTTGCCTCTTTAACCAGAGTTGTACAAGCCTGCATAAATGAGTTATGGCTTTCAAAGTTAACTGTTAAGGCAATTAGTGCGACAATATGCAGAGGAGTAATCAGGAATGGCCTTTACAAGCCCATGCAGGGAAAGTAATGTAATGCATGTAAAGGCATTTGCATAATGCTACAGGATTGCATGTACATTGTGCAGTTATGTTCGGCAGTGTGAACCACTGTGCTGGCCAGAATGCAGCCTTTTTCCTTTATCACTCAATCCCATCATGTGCAGTGGTACATAAGGCCTCAGGAAGGTCATGTAAAGCTGCTCTAGCTTGGGCATCCCTATATGTATGCACTTGGAAGTATCCACACATGTACCTCCCCCATGGAAGGGATTTTTTCTAAGAACTCCCCCCCCTAACCACCACCACCACCACCACCACTCTGGGATTCCGATTTAACTTCATACTGTACATTTCTTTAACTTGTCCAGTTTTTGCAGAACCCCCAGGAAATTCCAATTATTATTACCCTGTGGAGTTTTTTTTGGCCTTGAACCCAGCCCATCACACTCATCTGGAAATTAGCCAAGACCTTAGCTTTTCTGGAACCACTCATTGTAATCATAGTACGTGTACACCATAATACTCTCTGGCTGAGATACACAAATTTTGTTTAGTACTAAACCCTTTGTGATTTCCACTAAACCTTTTTTTTTCCCCTTTCTCACAGTTCAGGGGCAGTGGAATCTCAGGAGAGGAGACAGAGATTTCCTGCTTTGGAAAATTTGTACCTTGATCACAATGAACTCACAGACCTGTCTACATTTGCAAGCCTGGCAGGACTCAAAAAGTAAAGCTTTGGATTTCTGTTACACTGCTTTATTTGCTTTTTCAAACACTCATAACTTGTGTCTTCTTGTTTTAATTATCAACAGACTAAAATACCTTAACTTGGAACAGAATGAGATATCTTCCGTTCCCCATCTTCGACTACTGGGTGCTCGAGTGCGTGAAGATGATACTTCAAGACAAGAAAATACAAAGACTGTTGAAAGCTCTTTACCTGATGTTCTTGAAGAAAACGAGAAAGAGATGCAGAAAGAGGAAGAATCAAAGCATGATGAAGACAAAGAAAATGTTAATGAACTCAATCTAGATGATGAAGTAGATGACATGCTAAGCCGAAACCTTGTGGATCATGAACGAGGAGAGAAAAGGAGTCGGCCTGAAATTAAGCCAAGCTCTAGCACCTTGACTGAGGATCCTTCACTGCTAGGTAACTTGTTGAGTGCTTAAAACATCAACCTATACATGTAGAAATGATGTACCTAGATTTTGCACTGTGTCACTTTACTCAGTTTGTGTACATCATGTGTTAGTGGCAGCCATAACTTTACTGGTATGTTGTTGTTGTTTTTGTTTTTACTTCACAGTCAATCAAACATCACTGATGAACACTTGTGTGGAAATACATGTAGTTTGTAGCTCTCTCTCTCTCTCTTTCCCAGACTCACAGGCCTACATACATCTGGTTTTGACTAGAAATTGATACAAGATTAAACCAACAGATATGAATGTAAAAATCCTTTAAGTTTTAGAGTTCACAACACCCATTTTCTTCTAACAATACAGTTCCAGAAAATATGTAGACCTCTTCCATGGAAGGTTCTCTTTTTACAACCCTTCCCCTACCCCTCTGGAAATTCCAAGTAAGCTTCGTACATGTACATTTCTTTCAAGTTTTTCGTCTTATAGAACACACCTCCCCACCCCCAGGAAATTCTAATCCCTTCTGTGGATAAAGTATGGATAATTTCTGGAATTGCACATGAAATTATATTAATAATTCAACTTCAAAAAGAGAAGTGAAAATAGCATGTACCATGTGACTAACTTCTTTAAACCAGCATTACTACAGGTACATCATGTATAATAATTAATTGTTTCTTTTGACCTTCAGGTGACAAGTACAATCCACCAATGCCATTTTCCAGTCTTCTGCACTTGAATCTGGCAAACAACCTCATCTTTGAAGAAGAAGGTCTCTTGGCACTGATGAGTTGGCCCTCCCTCAGAGAACTTGTTGTGTGGGGTAATCCACTTACAACAGCTTTCAAAGGTGACCCACCAATACTTTCATTTCAACTTGGGAGATTGAAAGGAGTAAGGATCTTTAGGTAGGTGATCTTCACCGACAAGTTGTTTTAGTTGTACAAAATGAAATCAATTCATTTGTTTGTCTTCCTTTAATGACCTTTAATGTAATGTAAATCTTATTTATGGTAGTGGTCATGCACTTAGTTATATAAGCACCAAGCTTAGCTAGTTTACCGGCATGCCACTGAAACAAAGGAAACACAAATTTCAAATGAACGTAACATAGTAAAAAATCCCAACTGGCAGGAGGCAGACCAGTTGGCTATTTACAAAGCGTGACCGAGAATTTTAACTCGGGACTACTACCGAGAGACAATCCCGCTAGTGGCAGGGTGGAGGCCTTGAACCCGGGACCTCCGGATTACAACACCAGCGCCCTAAACTACTCGGCCAAGCTGCCTCCCTGACGTGCAAATCAGTGAATCACAACAACTGGCACTTCCTGTCATGTGTCTGACTACATTGCCTGATGCCGCTTGAAGTACTTGTAGACTAACTGTTACAATTTTATTTAGGTTATACCGTTAATGTATTGTCCCTAATCTCACGGAAACGGCTTTGATTTCCATTTGGCTCTTCCTATCATTGCAAAGCATTAGGGCATGGTGTAAACCTTTCTTAATAACAAAACAAAATTAAACAAAACGTGAATTTGTATCCAAAAATTAATCCTTATTGTAGTAAAAGTGTTTTAAAGTTTGTGAACTTACGCACATGTGTGATGTTTCTGTTTTCTTCTCACAGACAAAGGCCTCCAAAGAGACCCAAGCCGACTGTGAATCTTGCAAATACTCACAGAAAGGTAAGTTCTTAGGAAGTGTATCAAAGACCTTTGAATGGGTTCATGTCCATCCTTCTTTCTTTCGACTTCGAGTCTTTCTCCGCGAGAAGCATGAAACCCGCTGTCTTTAATGTTTTTAATTGCCTATCGTTCATTTGTTTTACATGTACATGAAACTATTTTCCTCTTTTATAAACAAAAGGTAAAAGATACTCTTCCCCCGATGCCGAAGAAGCAAAACCTGGCAATGCTGGAAGCCCCTCCTGATCCGAAGTCAATCGCATATGTTGGACNATTGAAAGGAGTAAGGATCTTTAGGTAGGTGATCTTCACCGACAAGTTGTTTTAGTTGTACAAAATGAAATCAATTCATTTGTTTGTCTTCCTTTAATGACCTTTAATGTAATGTAAATCCTATTTATAGTAGTGGTCATGCACTTAGCTATACAAGCACCAAACTTAGCTAGTTTACAGGCATGCCAAAGAAACAAAGGAAACAAATATTTCAAATAAACGTAACATAGTAAAAAATCCCAACTGGCAGGAGGCAGATCAGTTGGCTATTTACAAAGCGTGACCGAGGATTTGAACTCGGGACTACCGAGAAACAAATCCCGCTAGTGGCAGGGTGGAGGCCTTGAAGCTAAATTAAACAAAACGTGAATTTGTATCCAAAAATTAATCCTTATTGTGCTAAAAGTGTTTCAAAGTTTGTGAACTTAAGCACGTGTCGTGTTTCTGTTTTCTTCTCACAGACAAAAGCCTCCAAAGAGACCCAAGCCGATTGTGAATCTTGCAAATACTCACAGAAAGGTAAGTTCTTAAAAAGTGTATCAAAGTCCTTTGAATGGGTTCATGTCAATCCATCTTTCTTTCGACTTCGAGTCTTTCTCCACAACCAGCATGAAACCCGCTGTCTTTAATTGTCTATCATTCATTTGTTTTACATGTACATGAAACTGTTTTCCTCTTTTATAAACAAAAGGTAAAAGATACTCTTCCCCCAATGCCGAAGAAGCAAAACCTGGCAATGCTGGAAGCCCCTCCTGATCCGAAGTCAATCGCATATGTTGGACCACCTTACAAGACATTACCACCGATAGGATCAGCACCCCCCACAGGACGACAGCGCCAGTCTACCACCCCAAGGAAGCTCTATACTGCGCCTGGCGCCACTGAGAAGACACCAAGAGATGATCGCCCTCCTTTCGACCGTACCAATAGCATGCCTCCGGAATTTCCTGAATCAGAGCAGTACCAGTCTGGTCACACAACCAGGCAGACGGTGAAGACGGACGGAGAAGCTACTGTTAGTGAAAGTGTCGGGACTGCTGATGGTCGATATCAACCTCGTACAGATGGGGGGCTCAACACTGACGATAGATTTTTCATGACCCAAGTAAGACTTTCTTTTCGTTTTTTTTTTCTTTTCATTTTTTTTTTAAATTGCACCTGTGTCATGTAGTCGCATTTAGGGAGTTTAATTAAGAAAACCACAACGACACCGGCAACGGGAACGTCACCAAACAAAAGGTTTGATGAGCAAAACAATAGCTGTGCACGTGCGTTATAAATCTTTGTACATTTCTTTGCCATCCTCTGCAAAACAAGAACGTGACATGATCAAGTTCTGCGTCGTCTACGGAACGTGGAGACGGGAACGTCGCTGAACAAAAGGTTTAACATGAAGAAAAATTTCTGTGTACGTGCGTTATAATTCTTGGTACATTTCTTTGCCGTCCTCCGCAAAACAACTTTGTGAAAGGACCTTAATCTGCTTTTCTGGGGACGTGAACCACGAAATTTATTTTATTCTTGTGTATGTCTATATGGAATTGAACGCCGTGTTCCATATTTAGTTTTGAGATAGTTTTGATTGTGAGAAACATTAACTAAATGACTTGAGAGTATCGCGAGATTCGTAGGAAAAATATAAATTTATTTTTTAATAGGCTTTGTCCTCGGCGTCGCTTTTATGGTTACATAAATTCCCTTTTAAGTCAGCAATGCAGCCTGAAACGTTTCTTTCGTTGATGTTCCCTTGGCAGATTGACGAACAAGGTGACGAACAAGGTGTTGAAGCGCCTAAGCAAAAACCAAACAAAGAAAAACAGCGTCCATTTAGCGTGGAAACTAAGTATAGAGGCTACGAAGAGTTGTTAGACGTCGATACTGAAGACCCTGACATTGTGGTACCAAAGGACCTCCAGGGAAGCGTTAGAGCTCTGAACTACGCTCTGGCCCATCCACTGATCTTCAGTGAACCACATGGAACATACAAAGAACGAAGAGTTAAAAAGATCAAGGTAAGTTAACGTTTAATGCTCTTTGTTGGCACTTTGTTGGAGAGACTGCAGTCTCGTGTGACAACAGTTTAGTGGCTCGTCACCCATTTTTCATCCCAACTGTAAAATTACATGAAAAGCCAAAAGCAAACTACAGAGAAGGCTTTTTCAACGGCTAACCCATGCATTATATCATCTTGTTTTCTCATAGCGAAATCGTTTTGCATGCTTAAACGTGATTTCCCCTCCCCTTTCCATTCATTTCTCTTCGCCTTCCTTCCCCCCCCC